AATCCAATATAACACCCCACAAAGTAACAAACAAACAATATCTTCAATCCTCAAATCCAAATATCATTATTTCTGTGTTTTTTCACACAAAAAGTCTGTGAGAGGTTTCCAATCTTTAACAAATATTAACAATTACTTTTCTCTGATTAAACATGTCAATTTCACTATCTCAGCTAAGTCCATTAGTTTTGACAGCCATTCTTCCATTGTTGATAAAAGTGGGTCCTTCCATCTTTGTGCATATAAAAGTCTTGCAGCCATAATTATATATTGTAGCAAAATTCCATAATCGTTTTCTAACTGTATATCAATTAGTCCCACCAGGAAGAGTTCTGGCTTCAGCTGAAAATCAGTCTTCAAAATTCTCTGTATCAAAGTACTGTATGTATTTGTATCCAATATTTTTTGGCTTTTTTACATGTCCCCCGAGCATGATAAATTGTCCCTGCATGCTCTTTACATTTCCAGCGTGAATTTGGAATATATATTTTTTACATTCTAAATAATTTCTTAGGAGTTAAGAACCACAGTGTATATTTTAACCCTTTAGTTCACATATCTTTCCACTGTGCCATCTGTATATTATCACCAAAAATTATTGCCCATTTAATCATGCAAACTTTGACTTGCTCTTCTTTCATTTCACAATTCAGCAGTACTTTATTCATTTTTTGCAATATATTCATCATATGCATAGCTGTACTTCAAAATGTCTCTCTTTTTTTTCCTATACCACAAGTCCTTTTATCCAACTTAAATCTCTCAAATCAATTGCAAATGAGCACACCATTGAAGACTGTAACCTTCTTTTATTAATTGTTCCCATGTTTTAATTTAACAGTCTCCTTGGTCCCACTTAGTTAACCATTTCTCATTACCTATCGTCTCTCTTCTATAGAATGCTTCTTGCATTGAAATCTATAAAAGTATCTTCATATAAAACTGAGATTTGGATCTATTCCAGACTCTCAATATAGAACGTCTAACAAAATGATTTTTGAAGTCCACATTAACTTCAACCCTGTCACACCACATATATCCATAACATCCAAACTTTAAATCATAACCCGCTACTTTCAAAATTCTCCTGTTTTTTAGAGTCATCCAGCCTAAACAACAAGCAGCAAAGTACAATTTCAAATCAGGCAGTCCCAGTCCTCCTCTGTCTTTCACATCTTGCAGTACTTTCATTTTAACTTGTGTTTAAATCTCTTTGCCATTCTTTAAATGGTAGATCATTATTCACAATAGGTATTCTTTGAAACAGAAACATTGTTCTATGCAAAACATTCATTTTTATCACTGAAATTCTGCCAGGCAATGACAGTTTTAACTTCACCCATTTGACATATCTTTTTTAACTTCAGCCCATGTTTTGACCTAATTATTTTGAAATGATGCACAATTCATATTTGTCATAGTTATACCCAAGTACTTTTTTCCAGTTTGAAACCTGGTTTTCTCCATCAAAGCCTTCTGGTCTTCTTTGTTAACATTTTCATTTTCTAATGGTTAATCTTAAAAGCTGCTAACAAACCAAACTCTTTTAATTTATCCATAAGAACTCCTAGTCCCTGCAGCGGGTTTTCTAAAGTTAACATCAAATAATCAGCAAATGCTCTTGATTTATACATTTCTTTTTAAATCTTTATTCCCATAACTCTCTCATTTTGTCAAATGTTTCTAAGCAAGACTTCTAAGACCAAGATGAAAAGTTAATGGGGATAATGGGCATCCTTGCCTTGTCCCCTTCTGCACATCACAAGGTTTGGTCAAATCTCCATTAACCAGTATCTGTGTTGACTGTTGTGTATAAATTGATTTTACCCATTTAATAAAATTATTTCCAAAGTTCATTTCTTGCAAAACTTCCAAAAAAAAAACCACCCAATTCACACTGACAAAGGCCTTTTCTGCACCCAAAAAAATCAAGCAACTTGCTTTTCATTATGATAATTGAAATATTCCAAAATGCCTAATGCATTTCTTATACAGTGGTACCTCAGGTTACATACGCTTCAGGTTACAGACTCTGCTAACCCAGAAATAGTGCTTCAGGTTAAGAACTTTGCTTCAGGATGAGAACAGAAATTGGGCTCCGGTGGTGCGGCAGCAACAGGAGGCCCCATTAGCTAAAATGGTGCTTCAGGTTAAGAACAGTTTCAGGTTATGTATGGACCTCCAGAACGAATTAAGTACTTAACCTGAGGTACCACTGTATTGTCTCTTAGCTGTCTTTTAGACAAAAATAAACATTGATCATAGTGAATAAGGTCCTGTAGAATCTTTTCAAATCTTTCCACCAATATCAATGAATATAGTTTATAGTCATTATTCAGCAAGGAGAAAAATCAATATTTTTTCACTAATATTTTTCACTTTTCACAAAAGCTATAATTTTATGGACAAGTGTCAAGCTTATGCAAGTGCCCATGTGAAATGGTGGGAAAAACCTTTCCTGGCATATTACATGTGGCCAGCATTGTTGTAAAGAATGGGGTGATTAAAAACAATCAATTCTCCTGTCAGACTGAGAATATCCCCTCACTCATGAAATTTAGGATATTCCACCATTTTTCAGGAGAGTTTCTTTTCTTTCAGCAAAGTCAGCGGCTCACGTATATGCCAACAAAACTTTAATAATAAAGAAAATTGTAATGCAATAGCATACTATCTGAGAGAAATTAAAACAATATCAAGCAAGTATGACAGTTGGTCTCTCTATCTTAACCTAACTGAACACCTGAAGGGAGGGGCTGATTCCGGAGCACAGCACAAAAGCCCCGCCCACCAGATGCCAGACATTCTACTGTTCAAATTAGGCCCCAGTCTTTTTCTAACAAGCATAACTTGTCACAATTTGTTGTCAGGCACCCACAAATAAATACTTCCAGTGCAACACTCTGTGCATATGAATTCTTACTATGCATTAAGGAATTGCAAGTTAGTATGACGTCCATGTCTCCTTCATGGATCACTGCCTTGCCGTGGTGAAGGGGCTTGAATAACTCAGAGAAGCTATGAGCTATGCCGTGCAGGGCCACCCAAGATGGACAGGTCATAGTGGAGAGTTTTGATCAAACGTGATCCACCTGGAGCAGGACCTGGCAAGCCACTCCAGTATCCCTGCCAAGAAAACTCCATGGACAAAGACAACAATGACGTCCATGTGGAAAGTTGTAATGCCCACAGGAAACTACAGTTGGCAACCTAATGATTTATGGATATTCAGCTCAGCATTTAATTTGCAGAAAAGATAAATGTCATGGAAGTCCCCCTTTTTAAGAAGAGGATTTCATGTTAATTGATATGACAATGCATCACCTGGTCAACAAATTTCCTTTTCAATTTCCCTGCCTTAAAATCAACAATCAACAATAACAAATATTACCAGCCAGTACTTCTGTTTCTGCTTATATCCATTCTTTCAAGGTAATTGCTTTCCTTCGGGGGCACGATTACCTCTGTTTCTGGTGCTTATCTCAAATTATGCGAAATCGTTTATATTTTGTGTTAAAGACTACATTAAACCTTTTACAGCAGGGATAAGGAACCTCCTTTCCACAGGCCAAACTTTGCTTGATATGGCTTCATTTGGCCCGCAAGACTATTTGAGGGAAGCCATGCCCAGCTGCCCTACACCTGATACCTTACATGTTGTTGGAGGTGGGACAAAGTAAGGGTGAGACAAAGGACCTTATGTCCAAGGTTGAAAGGATCAGCACAGAGCAGGCTTTGCAAGCCTTCCTGCACTCCCTCTGCTTCTGCTGGCAGGAGGGATGAATGGGCCAAAGCAGCTTCTAACTGTCTTTCATTCCCCCCCCTCACCTCACCACTGTCGCCTCTGTTGCTGTAGGGAAAAGAGACTGCATAGTTCCTCCTCTCCCTTTCTTCAGTTAAAGCAGCAGTGTGAAGTGTGAGAATGAATGGGACAAATAAGCTTATTTCCTGCCTCATTCCCCGCTCCCCTACTGCCACTGCTGCTGTGTGAAGGAGAGCAAATCCTACATTTTATAGGGTACATGTCTTTCTTGCCATTTCTACAGGAACAGTGCAAGGAATTTTGACAGGTGGGCAGGAGCAACCCATCTGCCAGTTATATGACATCAAAATGATGTCACACAATTGGCAGATGGGCAGCCCCACTGGCCTTTCAAATTTGGCCCACAAAGCTTATGCTGATAATGATCTAGCCTGTGGAGCGTAAAAGGTTCCCCACCCCTGTTAAACCAGGTTGTAATGTTTTGTGAGGCAAGGCAAGAGAACTTCAGCTCCTGAGATGATTTTTGGATGAGCCCACCTGTTAAGCCTAGCTAGGGAGAGCCAGTCAGGATGGACCTGCCTCCTTGAAACATCTGGGCAGAACCTGACAGAAGCTTCTACATTATTCACAAAAAAGAGTTGGGGGGGTCTAGGAGAGCAATATCAATTCTACTCTTTTCTAAATCACACCCAGTTTGAAGTTAGTGATAATTAATCTAAAAACGTTATCTAATTACTAATTATATTGATATATGATTATGTTTTCTTTCTTTTACAAAAGCATTGATGTATGTCCACACTCTTCTTGTCTGACTTACATTTATAGTGTAGCACAAATAATGCCTTAATAATTACTAAATTCTCAGGGAACAAATTCCTACCAGTACTGTGTCACAGTACTGGTAAAAATGTGCCTGGTATAACAAGACGGTCAGGCGATTGACCATATGACAGAGGTTGCTCTTTGGGATTCAATTCCTGTCATCATTCCCTTCCTCCTTTAGCTATCTCCCTCCTCCACCTCCCCTCTGCCTGAAGCACACACACTGGTTTATGATTTTGCTCTCCCACATGACAGCTTTTCCATGTCAGCCCTATTTCCTTCACCCCTTCTGGTCTAATGCCTATTGGCTGCCGTGGCTGAACACAGAGGAGGGACAGGCCTTAGGTCCCCTATAATTACGGCCCATTCCTTTTTTGAAACTTTTCATCAAACTCTTAGGAGGGCATACATCACAGCTGAGCAGCATCTTCATTGCATCAGTTTTGGGAAATGGCTAGATCCAAATTCCTCTGATTTCCAGAACCACCCAGCCCACTTTCTTGGATAACTCTCCGTGGTGAAAGGGATCCTTGGTGTGAATGCAACCAACACAGAGGGCTTCCTCCTTCAAAAGGACTGGGAAGGTAACTGAATATTTTTAGGGCAGATAATTATCTTAGGGTTGTTATGCCTGCAGGATATTCTTTTTTAACAGGCTGTATATATTTTAAGTGGAAGACAGGAGTGCCTGGCGTGCTCTAGTCCATGGGGTCACGAAGAGTCGGACACGACTAAACGACTAAACAACAACAACAATATATTTCAAGTGTCCTATCCTTTACAAATATCTAATATTGTGGCTTGGGATGGAGGAGAAATATGATTCAATTTGCAATTAAAGGTGAATCTTTCCCAAACAATACATGAACCGAAACACTACCAAAATTTACACTTCTCTGAATTTTGCAGTGCAGTTATCCATCCAAATAATGTCTACCAAGATGGTAAAGTTTTCATTAAAATGTATATAGTCATGAAAGTACTTAAATTAGGGAAACTGCTCTGCAATAATAACAATATTAGGTTAAATTGCATACAAAAATGTGTATATGAGGAGAAATTTGCACCCAAATGCTGATGAATTTCCATGAGGACTTGAATGAACAAATTCACAAACTGATACGGCAATGCGGAGGGGGGAAAAAGTGGGATGGGAAACTGAAATTGATACATTCTCCAGTCCTAATTATGGATGGAGTTTGACAGTGTGTCTTTTCTGGTGGCTGAACGAAACCATCTGTAATTGGGGGGGGGGGTGTTTAAAAAAAGAGCTTTTCGAAACAAAGGCCTACTGCCAATATGCTTTAAAAATGAATGGGGGTTCTGTGTGAATTGGGAATGGTGGAGAAATTCGTTCAGTTCTCACTTTAATGCAAGATTTCCAATTTTTCACTTTCCAATATAAAATGCAAACCGCAGCATAGCTATCCTTCAAAATATATACTCCTCCAATTTTTGTGATGCAGTTATCTCACAAAAGAAAATGTGTGCAAGAAAACCTATATTGGGGGAGTGTGTGAGGGAGAGGGGATGAGGGAGAGAGAGAGAGAAATTCAAAACCATATTATATTCAATATATGTATGTATGTATGTATGTTGTGGAAATGCAGCAAATCGTACTGTGCTGAATATTAGAAAATTAAAAGACTAAGAGGAACAAAAATTGGCAGATTTGTACATTCCTAGCAGCACTTTTGTAGGAGAAATATGGTATGCATCCCTGTTCAATGTATACATACATACCGGTACATACATACATACATGTCAAGGAGCAGTAACTCACAGCATGAGCAGCACCGCAGGTTCAATCCCAAGCATCAGTGATCCTGTCAACAGGGAGGACCATAGTTCAGTAGCAGAGCATCTGCTTTGCATGCAGAAGGTCCCCAGTGTCTTTAAGTAGGGCTGGGAATGTTCTCAGCTTGGAACCATGGAGAGATGCTGCCAGCCTGTATGGGCAATGCCTAGATCATGGGTAGGCAAACTAAGGCCCAGGGGCCGGATCTGGCCCAATTGCCTTCTAAATCTGGCCCACGGACGGTCCAGGATTCAGCGTGTTTTTACATGAGTAGAATGTGTCCTTTTATTTAAAATGCATCTTTGGATTATTTGTGGGGCATAGGAATTCGTTAATATTTTTTCCCCTCCAAAATATAGTCTGGCCCCCCACAAGGTCTGAGGGACAGTGGACCGGCTCCCTGCTGAAAAAGTTTGCTAACCCCTGGCCTAGATGGACTGAAGATTAATAAATAAATAAAAAGCTGGTCACTGGTTGTCCAGCAGACATTTTAACTGAACTTTGATTTCATAGAACTTTGATTTTAGCACACTTTTCATTTTCTTTCCAAGGAACTTCTTATACACCACTTAGAAATGATTGCAATTAAGTGGTTTATAAAATATTTAAATAAATAAATTACAGGCAGTTTCAGTGAACTGAAAATTACCCTTGTAGATTTATGCAGATGCACAGTCTCTTCTATGCCAAAGACACCTGAAACTTCAGTAAGTCAGAGATAGATAGATGATAGATAATAGATAGATAGATGATAGATGATAGATGATAGATGATAATAGATAGATAGATGATAGATAGATAGATAGATAGATAGATAGATAGATGATAGATAGATAGATAGATAGATAGATAGATAGATATAGATAGATAGACCTCTTTTTTCGCTTTTTTGGTTTGTGTCTCTCATTTTCATGGTAGCTACAAAAAGGAGACAGAATTTTTGTCTCTTCCAGTTCCCGAAGTCTTTGTCACACCCTAAAGCAGGGATGGGGAACATATGACTCTCCGAGGTTTGGTTGGGCTACAACTCCCATCACTCCATACTGACTGGGGCTGATGGCACTTGGAGTCAAACGGTGATGAATAAATAGCTCAGATGATAGAGCATGAGACTCTTAATCTTAGAGTCATGGGTTTGAATGCCACATTGGGTGGAAGATTCCTGCATTGCATGGGGTTGGACTAGTTGAACCTCTTGGTTCCTTCCAGCTCTACAATTCTATGATTTTATGAACATCTGGAAGGACACAGCCATATATGAACAATAATATGATTTGTATCCCAGCCCTATATGAACAATAATCAGTCCCAGGGAAATTCATGCAGAGTAACTGTTCAATATCACTGTTTCTCTCCTCTGCTGTAACTCAGAGAACTCATCCTTATCTTCCTTCCACAGGCAAGATCAGGAAAGATCTTTAGCTCCAGGTCCCACCAACAGACTCAAAACTTTGGCTGAGCTTTGAGGTTTCCATCACAATGGGCAAATTTTCTGCTTTACCTGTTCTGGCCTATTGCCTGGCCTGCCTCATCCTGAGAGTCTCCAGTCAGACAGCCGTGAGCTTCAGGAATACCCCCATCCCCTTTGAGGTTCTGGATCAAGATAAAGCTTACAGTCTCATTCAGCCTGGAATATTTACAAACTCCAGAGCCACCGCCAACCATTCAGGCAACCTTATTGGAGATGCCATCACAGAGGGCCCACAGCTGTCAGTCATGTGTGCTAAGCCAACAGAAATCCGACAGGCCTTCAAGTACATTAACACGTTTGTGTCTTGCACTATCTTCATTGTGGGCATCATTGGGAATTCCACCCTCCTGAGGATCATCTACAAGAACAAATGCATGAGGAATGGGCCTAACGTCCTCATTGCTAGCCTGGCTCTTGGGGATCTGCTCTACATTCTCATTGCCTTGCCCATCAATGTATATAAGGTAAGGCCCCTCTTGGCCAGGGTGGGGAAAGAGGAAGAAAGCACTTATTACATCACTGCAATGCAGTGCCTGGGGAATCAAGACTCTTCAGCAATAAACAGTGATCACGAGTTAGGTGACTGCCATATATACTAGGTTGAAGATGGGACCTATCCAGGCATTCCAATCCCTTGTGCAAGGAGGGTGAGTGGGATATGAGGCCCATTATTCCCATTCTTGTTAGCCTCCACAACTTGGAATAATAATAATAATAATAATAATAATTCATTACTTATACCCCACCCATCAGGCCAGGCCTCCTCAGCCACTCTGGGTAGATATTAAAAACACAATAAAACATCAAACATTAAAAACTTCCCTAAATAGGGCTGTCTTCAGATGTGTTCTAAAAGTCATATAGTTGTTTATTTCCTTGACATCTGGTGGGAGGGCATTCCACAGGGCGGGTGCCACTACTGAGAAGGCCCTCTGCTTCCCTTCTTGCAGTGAGGGAACCACCAGAAGGCCCTCGGCGCTGGACCTCAGTGTCTGGGCTGAACGATGGGGGTGGAGATGCTCCTTCAGGTATACTGGGCCGAGGCCATTTAGTGCTTTAAAGGTCAGCACCAACACTTTCAATTGTGCGCGGAAACCTACTGGGAGTCAATGTTGGTCTTTCAGGCCTGGTGTAATATGGTCTCGGCAGCTACTCCCAGTCACCAGGCTAGCTGCCGCATTCTGGATTAATTGTAGTTTCCGGGTCACCTTCAAAGGTAGCCCCACGTAGAGAGGATAACTTCTGATATAGGAAAACTTTTCTGTTCCTGAGGGTCCCCATGCAGATTCAAAAACCTGGATCTCATGGTGTTCTAAGTTGCACAAGGAAATCCTCCATGAGCAGAACAGGTTGTCTGCTACATATGTTTGCCTCCCTGATCATGAATCACAGTTGGTGCAAGGGCCAGAGCAAGCACACTCATCCCCAGACTACGTGACCTAATTGTGAGGGTTATTAGAACACCATATTAGGGGTAGCATGCAACACTCAAAAGATGCTTCTCTTTTGGGTAACATGAGGAATAGGGAAAAAATCCGATTTGGCTCACTTTTTAAGGTGATTAACACTTTCTGAAACTGTAACACAGACATCCTTAGGAATGCTCCAGATTTAGCAGTGCTGTTCTCTAGTCCAACAGTGTGTCTAAGAATGCATATACTAGAATAAAGCATGCATGAAAAAGCACATGTTGTGGAAAATAACATTTTTTAAAAAATATATTTGAGAACATTGTAAAAAATGTGTATGCTAATCAAAACTGTGTATATACGAGCAGAAATTTGCACTGAAATGCTGGTGAATTTTCATGACTCCCCCCCCCCCAAGAAAGTTATGTGGAAATTTGGAGAACTGCAGATACGATTGGAAAAACAAACTGAGAGAAACCAAAATTGGAAGATATGCCCATCTGTACCCTCATATTATGTAAATTTGTGTCCTCTTTTCTTATGAGCTATAAGTGCTTGCCGCATGTTCGGGAAGACACAAGCACAGCAGTTTTTTTCTGTTTTGAGAGTAATTTATTTGGGGGAACATTTAGACACTGGATAACTCCCCTTTTCTCTGAAATGATATAGAGTGACCATTAACAGATAAGTGAAGTCATGTACACATTGCCATTTAAAGAGGACCTTCCTTGCCCCACCCCCTAATATGACCAATAAGTCCAGAGCAGGGCTTCCCAAACTTGGGTCTCCAGCTGTTTTTGGACTACAAATCCCATCATCCCTGGCTACTCATCCTGCTGGCTAGGGATGGTGGGAATTGTAGTCCACACAAGTTTAGGAAACCCCAGTCCAGAATTCAAAATTCCCCACTGCACCATGGTGCAGAGATGGGTGGTTCAGAAGCATTTAGGAAAGCTTGGTGTTTATTTCCAAGCAGAAGCATCCCTCTTTGAACTCCTTTCTTAGCCCTGCAGCTGAGGACACAATCAAGCTACTGTTTTGCATCTGAGAGCCAGAAGTTGGTCATATGTCAGAGAAGCAGCAAAACTCGGCTTTCGCATGTACTCAGCTGGGAAGCCTCCAGTGCAAAATATTTCTGTGAGATGTAACTGTTTGTGTAGGCTGACTTGGATATTTCAAGTTGTTTTGGATGTTAGCCAAGGCACCTCCTGATTACAATTAATCAGGAGGTGCCTTGGTGAGGAGCCAGAACAGTTGTGGATACATGGCATGTGAGTGTAGGGTCTCCTTCATGGGGACTTTTTTTGAAAGGGCTGCTACTCCTGCTTGCCTTCTCTGAAACTGGTACAGCAGCAACAGCTTATACAATCTGACCTTTGGTTCATCTTGCTTAGTATTGTGTACAATGACTGGCAGGATCTTTCCAGGGGTTCAGGCAGGAGTCTCTCCCAACCCTGCCTGGAGATGTCAGGGATTGAACCTGCGACCTTCTGCTTGCAAGGCAGATGCTGTAACCACTGAGCTGTGGGCCTTCCCAAGAACTGCCCTCCTCTATTTCTAGATGCAGAGATCTTTGTACATCCCTTGACTGACAGAGAGAAGGAACAGAAAGTTGAACAAAATCTTCCCTATGTTAAAGAAGAAAGGAGTGGTTTTTATGAAAGAGAAAAGATGAGATTAAGTTAGATCTTTAATTTCTCTGCCAATTTCCCATGAAGGAGATGGAAGCAGTTCACAATACAGTGGTACCTCAGGTTAAGAACTTAATTCATTCCAGAGGTCTGTTCTTAACCTGAAACTGTTCTTAACCTGAGGTACCACTTTAGCTAATGGGGCCTCCCACTGCCGCCGTGCTGCCACCCCACAATTTCTGTTCTCACACTGAAGCAAAGTTCTTAACCTGAGGTACTATTTCTGGGTTAGCGGAGTCTGTAACCTGAAGCATCTGTAACCCGAGGTACCACTGTATACAAAATAGAAGCAGCAATCATGAATGCAATTGTAGATTGAATTAACTGAAGCGTAGTGTCCAGATCACAGGAAGTAAGAGTTCTGACTTAGTTCTGCATTTTTTATGCAGCCTAGGGATAAGTAAGTTTTTTTCACTTTCTCTCTGTTTCTTACTTTTTCAGTTTTCCAGTTTTAAATTCAGTTCAGATGCATTTCTTCATCAGTCTGCAATTGATTTACAGTGGTACCTCGGGTTACATTCGCTTCAGGTTACATACGCTTCAGGTTACAGACTCCACTAACCCAGAAATAGTACCCCGGGTTAAGAACTTTGCTTCAGGATGAGAACAGAAATTGTGCTCCAGCGGCGCGGCAACAGCAGGAGGCCCCATTAGCTAAAGTGGTGCTTCAGGTTAAGAACAGTTTCAGGTTAAGAACAGACCTCTGGAACGAATTAAGTACTTAACCCGAGGTACCACTGTATTTTTAAAAGAACAATCTTCAAGGAAATTCATCAGTGTTTCTCCTAAAATACACTCCCCCCAAAAAAAACACACACCCCATAATGCATTTTGTATGCATTTTGTATACAATTAATTCTATTGTTTTTATGGATCGCTGTTGTGATGCCATGATGCCAAAAGTTTTTTATGCCCCCCAGGCCTGGCCCCATTTTATTTATTTATTTATTATTTTTTAAAATAACGTTTTTTAGAGGCTGCTTCCATAGGCCCCCTGCTGTGATACTGTGCTGCCAGAGGGGGTTTGTGGCATGTGTCCATTTTTAAAATAAAAAAATAGCAATTTAAAAAATTCAATATTTTTAATTCAATATTTTTAATTAATTATTTTTTTAAATATGCATTTACTGCCCACTCTGAGAAGTAGCCCGCTGTGATGACACGAGGTCTTTGTGCCCTCAAGCCAGCCCTAATTTTTCTTCATTTGAAAATAGTGGTGATGGTCATGGTCATAATTTTACTGACCACTGACCACTCCCATAGATCCACTGCTGAGATTCAGTGGTGCCAAGTGTGCTATGTGACCCCTCCAAGATGAGCATTAGCTATCTGAAATATACTCGGAGTCGAGAGTGGATTTCATGCTCTTTATTCAGCTCATAGTGGTGAGGAGGAATGGAAGTTCCCCCAGAATGTCTGCTTTATATACATTATTTACACAATGGGTCCCATGTGAATGGCTAATTCCAGGATTCTCCTGTAGGCCAATCAGGTTGTGGATTCACTTCCACCTGGAGCTGGATTGGGTATCTCCTGTGGACCAATCAGACTGCTGCATTCTGGATCCTATTGTTCTAGGACCAATCAGACTGCTGCATTCTGAATCCTATTGTTCTGGGACCAATCAGACTGCTGCATTTTGGATCCTATTCAACTCAGTACATAACACTCTCCATGGTTTCAGATGGGAAATGGACATATTTCAGTAGCAGAGCATCTGCTCTGCATGCAGAAGTCTCCAGGTACAATCCTCAGCCTCTGCACATAGCGCTGGGAAAGACTCCAGCCCGAAACCCTGCAGTACTGACAGTCAGTGTAGACAATACTGAACAGGATGGGCTAACTGCCTGACTTGGTATAAGGCAGCTTACTCTGTTTCAGGTGGGAGTCTTTTCCAGCTTTGCTAGGAGATAATGGAGATTGAAGTTAATGCCTTCCTCATGCCAAGCATGCACCTTGCCCCTAAGCTCCTGCTGCTACTCAAAGCCCCTGTCTTGCAAGCAACTAGAGTCTGCCTCCTTTCTGTACACCCATGTACAGCCCACGTCTTCAGTGCCTGCATAGGCTGGGTATGAGGAGCACCTTCTCTGACCTTCCGATCACAGGAACGTAGGAACATCAACACAGCATTCCCAAGGAATAGGTCCTGGTGCAGTGGACTCACATTTGCTCATGTGAGCACCTGAAACGCAGCAGAGTAACGGGAGCAAAGCTGTGGAGGTTTTGTTGCATATCTAATATATTTCTTCTAATTAAACAAATAAAAGAACAAACATGTATGAGAGAAACAGCTCTCTCATACTGCCATCTTGTCTCTAGACAGGTCAAAGAAAAAGACATACAGCGAATTTATCATTTGCCCGATAATAAATGTTGGAAATGTAAAGAAACTGAAGGTACATTCTTTCACCTTTGGTGGACGTGCCCTAAGATTAAGGCTTTCTGGGAAATGATCTATAATGAACTGAAAAAGGTATTTAAATATACCTTCTTGAAGAAACCAGAGGCCTTTCTCTTGGAAATGGTTGGCCAATTGGTGTCAAAGAAGGATAGAACTTTCTTTATGTATGCTACAACAGCTGCAAGAATACTTATCGCAAAGTATTGGAAGGTGCAAGATTTACCCACTCTGGAAGAATGGCAGATGAAGGTGATCGACTGTATGGGATTGGCAGAAATGACTGGCAGGATCCGAGACCAGGGAGAAGAGTGGCGGAAGAAGATTGGAAGAAATTCAAGGACTATTTACGGAAATATTGCAAAATTAATGAGTGTTGAATGATGTTGGATAGAAATTAAGGGGTTCATAGCTGTAATGTGATATGGGGGGAATAGGGTATGGAAATAGGTTAAATTTATGGATAAGGATTTGCTGAATTAACAATTTGAACTGGAATACAAGAAGGGGAGGTATGAGGAAGTCAGTGAAATATGTTATCAAAAAATAGTTATTGTGAACCTTATGTGTTTTTAAACTTTCTTGCTTTTTTCTTTTTGATTCTTTTTGATTGTATTAAATTTGAAAACTTAAAAAAGAAAGAAAGAAAGAAAAAGACACACAGTGCTAGGGACGGAAATCTGGAAGAGTAGCTTCTGCCCCAGTGGCGTAGCGTGGGGGGTGCAGGGGGGCCGGCCGCACCGGGCGCAACATCTGGGGGGGCGCTCACTGCCTCCGGAGTCGCCGAAGAGCCTCGGGCGCAGGCTGTAGCAGAGCCCCATGTCTCGCGGAACCGACGAGCTGGCAGCGGCTCTCAGCGCTCGCCGCGGTCCCCGCGCGTCAGGGCCGTGGAGGGCGCGCCAAGCAGCTCCTCCTCACAGCCCCGCCGCCGCCACTGCTGCTGCAGCTGCTGGGCCATGTTGCATTTTCCTCGCCTCTCTGCCCTCCTCCTCCTCCGGGCAAGCGGCGTCGTTTGGGCGGCAGCTCCAGCAGCAACTCGCCTCAGATCACCTGACACGGACCCACCGCCGCCGCCGTGGCTACCTTACCGTAAATACCCCAGCCCAGGCAGCAGCAAGAAGAAGCTGGCAGCGACGGCAGGTTAGGGGTTAGGGGGCACAAATTACTTGCCTTGCCCCGGGTTAGGGGGCGCAAATTACTTGCCTTGCCCCGGGTGCTGACAACCCACGCTACGCCGCTGTTCTGCCCCCTCCTTTCTCTTAGACAGAAAGTAAAACAAACATGACCTGGTGATCCTTGCAATGGGAGGGATGAAAATGCTGACACCTCCTCCCTGTACCCAGAAGATAAGCAAATGAATTGTTTGTTTTTCTAGCCCTCATGCAATTTTTTTCTGGAGCAGTCTAAAGGCTAAATCAATTCATGACTGCTACCATTTCTATCTCTAAGGGGTGAAATAAGGGGTGAATGGGTGGGAATTAATGTCTGAAAGCTTTCTGAAGTGCCATGCACACCAAAAACTAACATCTCAAGGATAAAGATCAGCAGATCCCTTTCCCTGCCTTGACATATTAGCTTTCCATATGCAGGAAGGGTTTTGTTATGTACTGAAGTTCTCACCCTGGGCCAGCAGGAGGATACTGTAGATAGTTTTCACTCAGATCCACATATGCAAATAAGGAATTGAAAGTGACGTTCAGTGATTGGATAGTTACAGAAAGTTGTTACTGTTGCTTTGTAGTGGAGTTCTATATAAGCAGGTTGGCTGAACCCTTCAGCCCAATTCTGTTCTGGACCTGTGAATAAACAAGAGCTGTTTGAAGAATCACTGTGTTGTCTGATATGTTCACCCACAATTTAACAGGTTTATTATTATTATTATTATTATTATTATTATTATTATTATTATGGTCCCATCTGCACTAAACATATAAAGCAGCATCATGCAAATTTAAACAGCCATAGCTTCCCTCCAAAGCATCCTGGGAAGTGTAGTGCTGAGAGCTGTTGGGAGAACCATTCTCCGCAGAAGCCTGCAGTTCCCAGAGTGTCCTAGAGAACAGGATTGATTGTTAAACCACTGGGAATTGTAGTTCTGGGAGGGGAACAGGGGGTCCTGTAACAGCTCTCTTTGCCCTTAATAAACTACAATTCCCAGGATGCTTAGGGGGTGGGAAACAATGACGGCTGAAATAGTATCTTAGCCCTTTAAATGTATGGTCAGATGGAGCCTGTCATACCCATTAGACCCATTGAAATGGACTGAGGTCCATTTATTTCAGTGGGTCTACTCTGTGACTAATGTTGGCTATCACCTATGGTCCGAGAATGGCTAATTTTAGCTGTTTCCCATGGCTTAGAACTTCAAGCTGAGTTACTCATGGAAGTTCATTCCTGCACCAAAGCTCAAAGTCTTAATAGGCTATGTATGACAACTGTTCTATAAACCGGACAAGTTGTTCAGGACCTAACACAAAGAGGAAATCTCATTCTGGTTGTTGAATGGATATCTTAACTGTTACGCAATTTATTTCATTAATCCACATTTTATTATTTACCGTATCTGTGTAATCCAATATTTAGCGTGAACTGAAACAAAACTTTCCAGTCTAATTCAAAGTAAACCAGTCTGGTAATCAGATTTCCAAGACAGCTGATTCACTGATTTAAGAGCTTTTAAAAAAAGGAAAGAGGAACTTCCTCAGCCAGCAAATCATTTCTGAACACGTAAGGAGAGCTTTCATAAATTCTTCTAACAGTTTTCAAAACTGAGATGCTTTACCTTTATAACTATTTTGTTTCCAAAGTTCATTCATCTAATGATCAGAAATTATTTTCTGCTTTTCAGCTGACATTCTTCAAAATACAGCTGACTGATATTTTACATATTTGTTCCATGAGCAGAACACTTGCATTTCATACAAGAACTTGCAGATTTATTTTTTTCTAGGGAAGAGGCTACACATAGCCAGAATGGTATTGTTGGACTCATAGGGACTCATAGGGATGCAGGTGGCGCTGTGGTCTAAACCACTGAGCCTCTTGGGCTTGCTGATTGGAAGGTCGCGGTTTGAATCCCCACAGCGGAGTGAGCTCCCGTTGCTCTGTCCCAGCTCCTGCCAACCTAGAAGTTTGAAAGCATGCCAGCGCAAGTAGATAAATAGGTACCTCTGTGGCGGGAAGGTAAATGGCATTTCCATGCACTCTGGCTTCCGTCACGGTATCCCGTTGCACCAGAAGTGGTTTAGTTATGCTGGCCACATGACCCAGAAAGCTGTCTGTGGACAAACGCCGGCTCCCTCAGCCTGAAAGTGAGATGAGCGCTGCAACCCCATAGTTACCTTTGCCTGGACTTAACCGTCCAGGGGTCCTCTACCTTTTACCATTACCTTATTAGTTGGACTCAGTAGTGACTGATGCCCATTGTGACTGGTCCTCCACAGTCCTCCCCCCATTCACTACTGCCTGTGGCACTTCAGATGTGATTGGGCTCTGAATCCCATCAGCCAGAGCTACAGCAGCCAATGGTCAGGCGCACTAGAAGCTGCAATGAAGAAATATCTGGAGGGCCACAGATTCCCCATCTCTAAACTAGATAAACCAATTGTCTGACTCTATATGAGGCATTTTTATATGTTCATTAAAGTGATCTTGTACAGAGCAGTTGCTGCACCACTGAGTCCCTCCATGTTTGCTACTAGGGCGAGGGGATGTTTAGCATTTTTGTGTAGCATTTTGTTGTTGGCTAGCTTTGAATCAATGGGCATCAATTCAGCCTAGAACACCTACACAACAGAAAGAGGTGATACAATGGTGAAAGTTCAGAATGGGACTGTAGACTACAACCAAGGAACATTTCTGAATATTAAAAAGTACTCCTGGCAACCAGAAAGCCGGGGTGGGCACCAAATTGTCAAAGGCTGGTGTATGGGTTTGTCTGATGCCCCTACACATGCAAAGAAATGAGTACAAAGTTATAGGAATCCAGTTCTCCGCTGAGATGGCATGCTAATGATGTGTTTCCCCTCTTTCAGCTGCTTGCAGAAGACTGGCCTTTTGGTGTGCAGGTGTGCAAATTGGTGCCATTCATTCAGAAGGCCTCCGTTGGCATCACAGTCCTCAGCCTCTGTGCTCTCAGCATAGACAGGTAACAGACCACCTTTGTTGCCTCCTGTCAAGCCTGGTTAATTAGGTCCATTCAGCCATTCACTTAGCCAGCCCTACCTATACAATTCATTGACCCTCTTCAGTCTTCCCTGAACACTGTGGTGGATAATCTTTTCAGCCCAGTGGAGCTACACTGTCTTTAGAGGAGGAATGTGGTCCTGCAGATGTTGCTGGGCTGAAACTTCCACCTTCAACTCCCCTGCTGTATTTTCTCCATGCATTGTGTGGGAGTTTTCAGATGTGAGCAAAATATGTGTGCAGCAGGGAGGTTGGACTAGATGACTCTTCTGGTCCCTCCCAACTCTACAGTTCTATGATTCCATGATTCCATTTGCTTTTTCCTGGGCTGCACATGGCAGGTATAGAGCTGTGGCCTCTTGGAGCCGGATCCAAGGGATTGGCATCCCCATGTGGAAGGCTGTTGAGGTAACCCTAATCTGGGCAGTGGCGATCATCCTAGCTGTCCCTGAAGCCATTGCTTTTGACTTGGTGGAACTGAATTACCGTGAACAGACGCACTGGGTCTGCATGCTGGCCGCTGAACAGAAATCCAGCTTCATGACGGTATGTTCTCTCTTGTTCAGCCAGATGATTTGAACAACCAAGGGAAGGGATGGGCCAGTCTGTCAATTACGGCTTCTCATTTCCCCTATTTTAAATTCAGCTCCCCACATTTGCGCATCAGCTTGTGAATTCTTATTTTGTAAAACAGTTCTCATAGAAATTCACCAGCTTTTTTTGGTGCAATTTCCCCCTTGTTTATACATTTTTATATGTAATTTTCCCTAATATAAATATTGTTGTATATCGGGGGCGGGGGGTTGAGGTTGGATTAGATTACCCTTGTTGGCCCTTCCAACTCTACAACCCTATGATTCCATGATTCTGGTTTGTTTTTTTCCTGGGCTGATCTTCGCAGGCACAGAGCTGCATTTTTGTATGCTATTTTCACAAATGTGTACCTTTACATGCACACTTTAGTTTATGCATTTATTTATTATTTTACACATTATTTGGATGGAGAACTGCATTCCTAAAATTTGGACCATTGAGAAATTTGAACAATGGCTGTGTTTTGGTTTGCATATTGCTTCGGGAAATGTGACTTGTGTAAATTTGCCATTAAATGCAAACTGAATCAAAGTGTGTATTCTTATGTTAAAAGTGTGTCCCAAATGCATACAATGAGATGATTCCATTTGCTTTTTCCTGGGCTGCTCATGGCAGGTATAGCGCTGTGGCCTCTTGGAGTCGGATCCAAGGGAATGCATACAATGCGTACAATGAGATGGAGCAGGGCAGAATAGCATGCAGTTAACGTATCATAAGAACATAAGAATAGCACTTGATTTCTTGGAGAAATCAGGCCAAAGGAGCCCCATTTGGTCCAGCCTCCTTTTCTCACAGTGGCCAGCCAAATGCGCACAAGATGCCCAAAAGCAGAACCTGAGCACAACTGCACCCTCCCCTCCTGCAGCTCCAAGCAACTAGTATTCAGAAGCATTACTGCCTCTGACATTGGAGGCAGAGAATAGTCATCATAGTTAGTACCCATTGATAGCCAATGGCACATCATGGGAGGGAAGGGAATGGAACAGCTCAGTAACTGAATGCCAGTGAAACCAGAACATGTTGGAATCAAAGGCTCAGTCCATCTCTGGTCTTCATGTGTTCCACAGGTGGTATAGGGACAAATATCCCCCAGGCAATCCCACCCTTCACACAACAACTAACAACTCCCTTGGAGAGGCAGCTGCTTTCATACCTTCCTTCCCTTCCATCTGCAGTTCTACAAGGATGTGAAAGATTGGTGGCTTTTTGGCTTCTACTTCTGCCTGCCTCTGGCCTGCACTGGCGTCTTCTATTCCCTCATGTCGTGTGAGATGCTGAGCAAGAGGAATGGCATGAGAATAGCACTCAACGACCACATGAAACGGGTGAGGTCCCCCAACCAAGGCTCAAGGGAACAAACCCTGTTCCTTGGCTTAGATGCAAGGAATGACGTCAGGCCACCAGCCCACATGGCCAGGCTTTGCCTGCTCTGTCTGGCAGTGGCTTTCATAAGAAAATAAGAAGAGCTGTGGTAGATCAGGCCAAAGGCCAAACTGGTGTTGTCCCATGGGTCAACCAGGTGCCTATGGGAAGCTCACTAGCACAAACTGAGTGCAAGGTGCCCAGAAGATGGCCTGCTAACTGAAATCTCTTTCATTGCAGTAGGGAGCCTGTGACTCTATGGCCATGTTTGGGCTCCGCTGCCCATCGTCTGTGCTCATTGCCTGTATCTGGGGTGGAGAGCCACAGCTGGAGATGCCATGGAATGAACATCTGAATGAATAGTGGCCTGTCCTCTGAATTTTAGAAGTATGCTCTGATACAGAGGTGGGCTTTCTGGTTGGACAGCCTGTCTCCCTCATGCAACTGGTGAAATATGAACATCCTTCCCTTTCTTCCATTCCTGGCATGCAGGACTCTGAGGGTGTTCTGGATATTCCCTAATACCAGAATATGGTAGTCATCTGAAGAGCTAACATCGTGCAGTGGTTAGAGAGTTCCTTAGCTTTCATGAGGTTGTTGTGGAGATTAAGAGAGGAGGTGGGGATCTGTGCATGCCACCTTGAGCTTCTTGGAGAAAAATGTGGTTCATAAATGCATTTAAAAATAATAATTTCAGAAAGAGATTCCATCACAGCTTCTTGTCTTCTGGAAGAGTCAGTTCAGACTTCAGGCTGGACTATTATTATTATAACTATTATTATTATTAATCACTGGAACTGTCCGAAGTCCTGCATTTGTGGGCACAGTAACATAGTAAAGCAACTCCTTGGTCTCTGCCTCTGTACATCACTCAGCAAATAGCTGAACTTTCAGCTCATAGTAGTGCAGGATGAACAACAGAGAAACCAGGGTGTGAAACAGCAGTGGGGAGCAGAAAGACAGAAGAAGACAGGGCTTGGGTGTGAAGAATGTGGTTGATGGTATTTACTGATGTCTTTACCATGTTATACACATGCTCAAGTCATCTTTGCCTTTTGTTGCTCCTTCATTCATTAACTTCAATGACTGGACTGCTGGTATTCCAGCGCCGGGAAGTGGCCAAGACAGTGTTCTGCCTTGTGGTGATATTCGCCCTCTGCTGGCTACCTCTCCATCTCAGCAGGATCCTCAAGAAGACCATTTATAGTCAACAAGATGCTGATAGGTGTGAACTGCTTAGGTAAGCTCAATATCAGAAGCTCCTTATTTTCTTCTTGGTGGTGGAAGAGAACTCTACCCTCCCTGAAATTAAAGAGGCCATTTCCAGTGCTAGAAATACAGGTAGCCACTTCACACTGATTTGGACCACTGGTTCATCTAACTCAGTATTGTCCACATTACTCTTAACTAAAAGCAAGATGTATGGGTGGTCCATATGGTGATATGGTGTAAGGGGTGAAGGAATGCAAGAGGCATAAGGGGATCCTCCAACATATAGGGCTTTCAGACTTACTCATGAGCTGTTGATAATGCATTTTGATCACTGAGATTTCCAGGCAAGACCAGTGTCAAACGTTGGCATTGCTCGGTACTTTATGCTGGCCCACACCTCTGCTGGGAACCCACTGCCAAACCCTGGAGACTCCCAGGGCACAGGAAGTTGCCTTTGTACAAAGTCATACTATTTGCCCATTTAATCCAGCACTGCCAACTCTGGCAGGCAGCAGCTCTACCGAGTATCAAACAGAGGTATTTACAAGCACCCGCTATCTGATAATCTTAAAAGGAGACAACAGGGAGTTGAATCTCACACCATTGACATATGAGGCATGTGCTGTCAGCCACAGCCCTTTCTACAAAGTTTGCATGATGGTGGCCATAAGAATTGTCAAAGGATTGAAACATGCAGCTGCCATCATGCTCCCTTCTGACAGCACTGACTCTCCATTCTCTTCTCCACTCCAGCTTCCTTCTGGTCATGGATTACTTTGGCATCAATATGGCTTCGCTCAACTCCTGCATCAACCCCGTGGCTCTCTATTTTGTCAGCCGGAAGTTTAAGAATTGCTTTCAGGTAGGATTGGGATTGTGCCTATGGAGGTGCAGAGGAAATGTCCAAGTGCCCCAGCCAAGTTGTTACCGGGACAAGGAGGAGAAAACTTTATTGGGGCTAATTCTCTCTCTCTAGTGCAGATGTCGTTGTTGTTATTGTTATATTTTATTACTGAGCCTTCACCCTAGGGCAGGTTGTGATCCAAACACATTAATATTAAAACAAAATACTGCACAATATTATGAACAGATGTTGCTGAACTACAACTGCCATCATCATAGATTTCACAGAACTGTAGAGCTGGATGGGACCCTAAGGGTCATCTTTTCCAACCCCCTACATTGCAGGAATCCTGCCCATAACCATCTCTGGGTGAGCTCAAACCACTAAAATTCTGATGAACAGCCAGACGCACTGACCCATTGTACCACTGTCATTGACCGTTGTCCCTGGGCATTGACCATGCTTGGTGGGACTGGTAGGAATTGTAATTCAGTTACATCTGGAGGGCAAAAAAGTTCCCACACCTGCCATCTCAATATGTTCTTGTTCTTCAATACATTTGCACATGCAGAACGAGTATCATCAGAAGTAAACATTACCCAAAGACATTTAAAGTTACCTCTTGGGATTTTTATTTGTTTGTTGCATTTATGACCTGCCTTTCCATTTAAAAAATGTCTAAGGCAATGATCAACAATAAAATCCGCAATAAAATAATACATAACCCTTTTAACAAATAAGCACCACAATTAATCAGATATTAAAGTGCTGTTGCAGTAGAGGCAGTGAGTGAGGTAAACCCAAAGGACTGAAAATGGCACAGTTTTCTTATCACAATGTTAATTGAGTCCAAAGGTCAAAAAGCCAGATTTGCAATTTTTTCAACATCCTGAAAAATATCTCAAGGACAGCACAGAATGCAATATTGTCTTCATCTTGGCCTGCCCTTGGTAGTGTTGTCCCTGCCTCTCTTGGGATGTGGACCTTGGTAGAGCCTTTATTTATTCATTACATTTTCAGCCCAACCTTTTCTCCTCCCAAAGAGCTCATGCTGTCATCTATGGTTTTCCCACTCCTCATTTTATCCTCACAACAACCTTGTGAGGTAAGCTAGACTAAGGAGACAGTGACAGGCCCAAGATCACTCACTGAGCTTTATGGCTGAGCGGCTATTTGATCCTGGTCCAACACTCTAGCCTGGTCCAACCCTCTAGTCCATACCCTGCAGGTTTATCATCTTCCTAGGGCTGTGGTGTAGGGTGGTTCTTCAGAAGCCCTAAACATCTCTGGTTTCTTTCTCATAGTCATGCCTTTGTTGCTGGTGCCAGAGACCAGCTCTTGGCATTGCACCAACAGATGACAAGGGCTCTGTTGGGAAGTGGAAAGCCAACGGGCAAGAATTGGGCCTCGATCGGAGCAGCTCCCACCTGAAGTACAGCTCTTCGTAGACGAGGGGATAAAGAAGAGGAGGGTCCACCAGGACTATGGAGATGGCCAGCCTGATTTTCCTTGTGGTTCCTCTTCAACTTCTCTGTTTTATTCTGGAAGGAACTGGCAGTTTCACCACCTAGCCCTTTGAAAAGATCTTGCTCACCTGATGTTCCTTAGCCCCTTATTACTTCCTTAACCCCACCCAATTAATGAATCTTTCTCTCTTTCTGAACAGCAGAATGCCTCATAAAAATAAATGGCAGGCTGGAGCAGACCAAAGGCGCTTATAGTCTAGAGGTGGGGAAATTCAGGCCTCTCTGGCTGGTTGCTGATGCTCTCCCATGCTACACACCCCAACAGCCTTGCTTTGCACCCTCCTTGGCAGCTTTTGCCTGCTGAGAATGAGTCCCTGAATGAACTTTGATTGCGCTCCTTACCTGCCTAGATGGAGAGAGAGATGAGTATGGGTGAGTGTGTGAAACCTTTGAAACATGCGTAGCTGGAAAGTAGCCTACTGTACAAAGGTAAGAGTCAAATTCATTGTTCTGCCCACTTTTGCTGCCCATTTGCATGCGGCCCCTGTAAGGTTGCCTAATGGCGAATGTGGCCCTTGAGCTGAAAAAGATTCTGCACCCAAAGATGCAGTTGATGTATTAGGTTCCAATTTTCCCTGGATATCAAATAAGGGCACAGTTGGAGAGAGGGAGGACATGGAGAACAGGAAAGCAGAATGGATGTGGTTCTGGAAGGGACAGAATTCTGGAAAGGAACTGGACAATATAGCAGATTCCCTGCTCCCTCTTGCCTAAAGCTGGGTAGATCTGTAGCTAGGGATGGGAGGGAGAGAAATCTTATTCAATTCATGTTTAAAGCCAAATCTATCAAATTCACAACATCTGAAGCAGTATGAGAACCAAAACACAGCTGTCCTTCTGAATTTGCATGTGTCCAGATTCTCCAGTCAGTTTTGCAGCCAAACAGTGTTTACAAAAATGCATGTATCAGGGGGGCAGTGTGCATAAAAATTGAATATATTGGTGAAGATAACATTAAAAAATGCATGTGTCAGTCAAAACTGAAGGCAAAAATGTGTTTATTAGGCACTAATACACTGAAGGAATTTCATGAGAATTATTTTGGAAAAGATTTTTGCAAATTGCTGCATAAATGTGGGAAACTGAACTTAAGATGAGGAAAATGAGAAAGTGAAAGAACTAAAACTGAGAGTTATTTCCATCCCTTTCCATAGCAGAGCAGACTGTTTGGCTATGGATTAGGGTGAAGTGGTGGTAGATTTCCTGCTATGGCTCGTGCCTCTCCTACTTCCCCCTTTCACCCCTAGTCATTCCTACACTCCCATGTTTCTATCTTGCACATGTGCAGGTAGGGATGAGGGAGAAATTTGATTTCATTCGCATTTACAGGCAAACTTACTTGATTCATACTTTCTGAAACAGTAGGTGAACTGAAAATCAGCCCTCCTTCACAATATTGGCAAGTCTCTAAATTTCGCAGTTTTTCACCCACATTTAATTTAACACACACCCATAGACATGATAATAGCATACAAACATGTGTTACATTAATGGGAAATGCTTTGCAAAAAAATGTGTGTATCAAGCAAGATTGCTTACAAATATGTGTATATGAGCAGAAATTCACAATGAAATGCAGATGAATTTTCATGCAGATTTTTTTTTAATGCTAACCGATATGTAAATAGGGAGAACTGAACTTGAGGTTAGAAAATGTGTCCTTGGACTATTGTACTGCCTTTTCGGTGGAAGACAGAGTTGCATGTATAGAAAACCTCTGATTCCAATATAGCTGACTGCAATCATTATCTGTTGCTCCACCCACTTTTGTCTCTGGCCCCACCCATTCCTGGCATGTAGGCCTTGGAAGGTTGGCCAAGATGGAATGTGGTCCTAAGGCTGAAAAAGGTTCCTCACATTCTTCTTCTTCTTTGGCAATCACTTGTAGCCAAGTAGGATTGTCTTCCATAAACAAGGTATTAACAGTGAGTCTGTAAGTGACTGCGGAGGCCACAGTGGGAGCATAGGTTTCTGGGCAGGAGTAGATCATATACACATGGACAATACCAGTGCTCCACCTACTGTGTCATCACTTCCAGAATATGGGTGGTATTCAAATACAGTCGTACCTTGGTTTTCAAACAGCTTAGTTCTCAAACGTTTTGGCTCCCGAGTGCCACAAACCAGTGACTGTTCTGGTTTGAGAACTATTTTTGGAAGCTGAACATCCAACGGGGCTTCCAATTGGCTGCAGGAAGCTGCACCTCGGTTTCTGATATGTTTTGGAAGTCAAACGGACTTCCGGAACTGATTCTGTTCAACTTCAAAGGTAACACTGTATGTTCTACTCAGAGTGGCTCTATTGAAATTAACATATGTAATTTAATTATGTCCATTCATTTCAGTGGATCTACTCTGAGTAAAACTTAGTTGAATGCTGCTTTGCATATGTGACATCACTTCTTGTGAGCTGAAGCCACCAAGAAAGCAAAATATGAGATTGGAATGGGAATGCCTCTCCCACTGTGATGCTTTTGTGATCCACCATAGTCATTTTGTTTCATCAGCTTCTTTTCACCTCTTCTCCTGGACTACTTGGCTCTGAAGATAGCTCAGTCTTCTTTATTTTGGATTTTGCTAGCCTGCTGGTGTTTCAGTGCTTACCTATGTGAGTGTGTTTGTGTAGACAGTAGCTTATCTCTCATGCATGTATATATTATATATTGTACAGAAAACCATGTAAGCTTTCGGACTTCAATAAGGTAACTGTGAAACAGTTACAGAATCTATTCGAGATTAAGTCTTCAGTCCTATGCCCACTTAGCATTTAACTCAGTGGGATTTGCTTCTGAGTTATATATAATGAGTTCATATAATCACAGTACAAGTAAACTCTTAAGGGCTGTATCCAGTGAAGCTGACCCACAGAAATTAATGGACACGGCTAATTTACCTCCAGTAATTTCAGTTGGCCTACTCCGAGTAGGATTTCGTTGGATACATTCCTAAGCTTCTGCTAGACAAGATAGTGCTGTGATTTAAGAATGACAAGCAGCTGTAATTTGCTACAATATGACTGGTTTCCATTCGCACCAGGTAGATGTTCAAGGGTACCAATGAGATTTGAAACTGTTACATTTGTGGATGTGATCAACTCATGCGCTGGTGATCAGCACCACACCAGGGCCTCCTTTTCCAAGCATTTTGAAAAGGATTTCTTTGCAACAGAATGAATGTATCATAATTTGGGGTTGTGACTTTATTCTGTAGTGTATGTAGCCGTGATATATATTATGCTGAATTGCAATTAAAATTTCATTGACTGTGCCTCAAACCTTTTTCTGGCCAATATGCTGACTGGCAGTTGCAAGCATTAGTAGTAATGGCAGAAGGCCTTAGTCATCCCCATCCATACTATAAGCCATCTACTTCCTAGTTGCTTGGATATAATTTACAGTGGTGCCCCAAAAGACGAATGCCTCGCAAGACGAAAAACTCGCTAGACGAAAGGGTTTTCCATTTTTTGAGCCGTTCCACAAGACGAATTTCCCTATGGGCTTGCTTCGCAAGACGAAACGTCTTGCGAGTTCTTGTGAGTTTGTTTCCTTTTTCTTAAAGCCGCTGAGCCGCTAATAGCCGCTAAGCCGCTAATAGCTGCTAATAGCCGCTAAGCGCCGTGCTTCGCAAGACAAAAAAACCGCAAGACGAAGAGACTCGCGGAACGAATTAATTTCGTCTTGCGAGGCACCACTGTATTCTATTTCTCTGTTTGTGATGGCTGGGTGCAAGGGCTTTTGCACAACTAGCTGAAAACAGCACCACCCATTCTGCAAGGATTCCCACTGATGTCGGGAACTCCAAGCTTTACAAAAGTACAGAATGTGAGGTTGGGGGACCTGAGGCAGGAGCACCCAGAGTGTTCAACACAAATAGTATACAAAGTGGCCATGGAATGCTGGCTGGTTGGGTCAGAGAACTGGGTGCTGGGTTGCACTGCCTCAGATACATCTCTCCCAAAGAGGAGGAAATACATCTGGAAGGTGGGGAGTGGAGGCTGGTCCATTAGGGCAAATAGATCACTGCCTCACAAACTCAACCTGCTTTCTTACTTGCAGCCAGTTCAGAGGGTGGCTCTGGCTGTGTGCTTCCTCCTTCTTAGCCTTGGTGTTCCCCTTGCAAAATTCAGCAGGATGGGGAGGAAACTAGAAATTGTCAAATCTGCCTGCTGTTGGTTCTGGCTCCACCTGCTGTTGGGCTCCTTCCTTTCCACCCAACCAGTTGCAATGAGCAACAGCCACCACTAGTTAGGTGATTTCGCATCCCTTCCCAGCAGCTGTGCACTCAGCCTGAAGTCATTATCCTGCATCCCTTTGCACAAAAAAGAAAACCCTTAAAGGGAGGAAGTCACCATGCTGCAGTTTTGCCAAGTCGTTAACTCTGTCACAGTCTTCCAAGAAGTCACTTCCTCAGCAGAAGTGAACGTGAAATACTAACTTGAACTAGGAAGGAGCGTTATTCAGAAATACCTGGGTCTAGCTTGCTTCCTGACCTAACATCTGCATAAGCAAAGCACACCATCAAGCCACTTCCAGGGCCATGTTGGTCAATTTGTAGGTGAAGGAACAATTGTACGGCAAATGGTGACATTCATACCCCTGTCATTCTCCCAGCTCAGTGTGAATAAAATATTTCCCTATATGAAAGATTTAGAAGGATTCTTATTAATGGTTACATGGGCCTGGGAATCTACTAAATACTTCATACTGCTATCTAATTCATCCCTCTCGTGTGTGCCTCTGGAGAATGCAAACATATTGCAGACAATCCCATGAGCCCCAGTGGCTGACATGGGAAGGAGAGAGTATGCTAAGCACGTACCATGTACCGTATTTTTCGCCCTATAGGACGCACTTTTTCCCCTCCAAAAATGAAGGGGAAATGTGTGTGCGTCCTATGGGGCGAATGCAGAGCTGCCTGCAGTCCCGGGGCGAGCGCAGCTCTGCACAGCCATCCAGAGCGGGGCGTGAAGTCGTGCCCGCCTCCCGATGGCTGCGCAGAGCTGCCTGCTGTCCTGGGGCAAGCTGCCTGCATTCCGAAGCCTGGGGAGACCGGCGCGACTTACCGCTGGCCTCCCTAGGCTTGCGGATAGCAGGCTGTTCTCGGGGCTGAGATTGGGGGAAGCTCGGGCTTCCCCCGCGCCTGGAGGGGAATTTTTTTTTTCTTTATTCCCCCCCCCAAAAAAACCTAGGTGCATCCTATGGGGCGAAAAATACGGTAATTGCAGGGCTTAGCTGAACATGTATTAAGCTGCCATACAAAGTCCAGAACATTGTCTCATGAGAAAAATCATAAACAGATTGTGGGTTAATTTTGTTGCACAACAGACTGCATGTGCACCCTGTTGTGCAGTAAGCTTTCACTATCACAGTTGATTGGATTCCTCTTCTGTGCAACACTGACACTCGCTTGCTAGCACAACAGCCATTGTGCTAGCCGACAAAGAGCACTGGATACAGCCCTTTGTCAACAATTACTGGTGAACTGTTCTGGTTCCAGGTTGTGGAGATACTGAGGGAGGGGGCACCATGGAGGATGAGTCAGCTTCACTGCCAGGTGCTGCAGCAACTCTCCCTCATCACTGCTCCCATCTGCTTGCTTGCCAT